TATTTCCCCTGTTGGACTTCCAAGATGAGACATGAATCCGAAACTCATAAGCCAAGAGTCACTTGAAACCCTACCTAGAATAGGGTTACCAGATGTCCCCGTTTCCCAGGGACAGCCCCCAGATTTGTGAATAAGTCCCCGGACAAATTCCATCCCCGGAATGTCCCCGGATTTCATCTAATGTCCCTGGGAAATGCAGCAGCAGCTGTCTCAGCAGCCCAGAGCAGTTGGCTCTGGCTGGCTTCAGGAGCTGCTCGGAAGTCCCCATATGATGGTGGTGCAGGGGCTCTTAAGATGCTGCCTCCACCTTCCCTGACCCTAGCAACTAAGCTGTGAAGGGAGGTTTCATGCTGCCTATTGGAGCAGCTTCCCAACTCCTCCTTGCGTGCAAGCGGTGGCCGGGGGGGGGGTCGCTCAGTTAGGCAATGGGAAGCCTCCCTTCCCAGCTGAGGGATCCTCGCCCCCTCCTGCTTGCACGCAGGTAGGAATGGGATTGGGGCTGCTCCAGTGAGAAGGGAGGCATTGCGCTGCCCGAGCCTTGCTGCCACTCTCAGCCCTCCTCCGTTTTCCATGCCTGACCCACCACACACCACTTCCCCACCACCACCACCACCACCGAAGAACCAACAACTCAGGGGCTGCCCAGGCTCATGGATCATGGAGAAAGGAGATAGAAGCCTCGGAGGAAGGGGAAACGTGGCGGTTGAGGTCAAGGCAGTGGCCGCCCCTCTGCCACCGCCATCGCTGCAGCATCAACGTCACAAATGTGAGTTATTTATTTATTTAAAGTGTCCACGGATTCATTGAAAAAAATCTGGTAACCTTAACCTAGAAGCAGTGGAAGAGTCCTCTAAACTTGATAGTCATTGAAAACAAGTAGAACAGGGGTCGGCAAAGTACAGTCACCCGGGCGGATCAGGCCCGCCTGGGTCCTAAATCCACCCCCACCCCCCTGGCCATTTAAGAACCCTCTACAAAGCCGAGACTCCAGGCAATGGCAACGGTGGGAAGAGGCCGAGTGGCGGGGGCTCTGCCAATCGAACGCCGTGCCTGGTTTACCTCAGTGGTGTTTGATTGGTAGAGACCTCCCCGCGCCGCGCTGAGGTAAACCAGGCATGGCATTTGATTGGCAGAGCCGTCGCCACTCGGCCTCTTCCTCCTGTCACTGCCACCCCCATAGTGCTCCTGTGGACCAGGGAGCGGAGCAGACGAGCTCACTCTGCCTACCTGCTACACAAGAAGCGGTGGTGGCGGCAGCCCCTGGAAAGGTAAGCGCAGTGCCCTCTTTCTCTAAGCAGAGGTTGAGTGATCCGTGGATCATTATTGTGGCTTTCATTGTGTAATTACCAAGATAAGCAAGGCCCTGGTAGGGGATGGTGTCGCGGACCCCTAATTGGGAACCACTGATCTTGTGTTATAGAATAAGTTGACCTATTGTGCAGACAGCTGGGGTTTGGGAGTAAGTGAACAGGAAACTGTTCATTTAGTCCTGAATCCAAGGCTGCCTCTAGATTTCTGGGGTTTCTTGGGCACAAAGTATCATTGGGCCCCTTGCTTCCTGAAATGAAACCCCACCTCGTTCATGGCCCTCTTTCAGGTCAAAAATCTTGACCAACAGACTAACCTCCTATGCCAAAGAAAAATACAAACTTTTTAATTTTATTGGTTGCCCTTTTTGTATATAACATTGCTTACTTAGAAATAAACAGAAAATACACATACCCATATTTTTCGCTCCATAAGACACACTTTTTTCTTCCTAAAAAGTAAGGGGAAATGTCTGTGCGTCTTATAGAGTGAATGCGTGGTCCCTGGAGCCGAATTGCCCAGGGGCGAAAAGGAGATCATGGTGTTGTTGGTTTTTGAAAGAGGGAAGTGGGTGTTGAAACAAAGCCACTGATCGCAAGCGATCGGAAGCGAGATAAGAGATGTTAGCAATAAAGGAGGCTGCCTGAGAGGGGGGAGGTAAAAGCCCATGGATCCTCAGGATTTTTACATTGAGTCACCCCAAATTCACCATCAGATCACATAGCATGTCCATGGCTACAGCCTGCACCAAAAAAATCACGTACCCACTGTTGCATGGGGCCGCAATGGCGCAAAAACATGGTTACAAAGCACGGATCCACATGGATCCTCAGGATTTTTGCATTGGGCTACCCCAAACTCACCATCAAATCACATGTTTGTGGCCACAGCATGAACCACAAAAATCATACATCCACTGTTTCGTTCAGAATATTTTTTTTCTTGTTTTCTTCTGAAAACTAGGTGTGTCTTATGGTCGGATGCATCTTATGGAGCAAAAATATGGTATATCTTTTAAAAAGCAGTCAGAACGAAACCCTCATTTCTATGTATTGCAACAAAGCTGAAAAGTGACGTTGATATCTATTGATACTTAGAATGATCACTAAGGTGTGCGTATTTAATGTATATGTCAGTTATAATTATCACTGACAATAAATTTTTACATCATATTGCTTTCCACCCTTGAAACATGCTCCACACACCCACAATTTTTCTCAGGATCCAGACTTAATTTCTTTACAGAAAAAGAAATAACATCTATATATTCTCAGTTCTTACCTGCAAATATTTATGTCCACAAAACCACAGTAGTAGAGCTAAAAAAATTATGCAACGGTGATGTGTTAAAAGGCTTTCCTCATCCGATAATAGAAAGCATGTCTGCTTTTGAGTTTTAACTGCGATCTTGTTCCAGAAAAAGAAAAACAGTATTCTGAGAGCACAGATGAAGGTGCAATACAAATGTTTCAAAATCACTTCTTGGGGGGGGGGGGGACCCCTTCTACAATCTTTAGCATATTGGTTGTTCACCAGAAAAATCCAGCGTGTTTGAGTTTGACCAGAACTTGAAAAAATAAATCTTAAAAAATAAACAAACCACATCTCTAGTTTTTTTTTTACCAGCAATTAATACATTTGCAGTCAGTGATAGAAACCCCCCTGAAAATCTGCTCAGAGGCAGAAGGGAGTAAGCAGTAATTGTTCCCTACCACCACAAAACAACTACCCTTCATATATTTATATAATGGGACTAACAGTCAAGAGTTATTAGCGTTCTGCAAATTTCCTATCAAAGGAGCTAGTTTGTCATAAATATTAGCATTTCTAATGCCTTTTATCTGAACAACCAACCTCTGAGTAGCCTGCTCTTCCAGTTTACAGAGAATCTGAGGGTATTAAACACAACTCACCACTGATTCAAAGGGCAAGGCAGCCAGTGATAAAAAGATTTCTGTAGGAATAGGTATACCAGTAGCAGAGCAGAAGTTGTCCCTCTTCTCGATGTGTTGACCACTTTGTGCCACATCCTGGACTGATGTGTTCAGCAATGGGCAGGCAGGCACTTTTTGAATGGGAGGAGGAGGTAAGCTCAGTTCTCACGTGGCAGCTGCTCTTTGCAGTGCCTGCCACTGCCAATATGCAATAGCATTTGGGCTGTTGCATGTCAGGTGATTTGATGGTTGGCAACCACCATGGCTGGCAACCAATAAGCTCACACTCAAAAGCACAGGTACCATGCCTCCTACCCAGCATATCTAACTCTGGCCATGGCCTCAGTATTTTCTTAGGACAGCTTTGTATACACATGCATCTCAACGGCATGCTGGCTTCCCTTGGGCATCTGTGAATAAAGGATCCTGTACTAGAAGGGCTTCATTTTTTTAATCCAGCAAGGCTCATGTTTTTTAGACTTCCAAACCCACCCCTCCACACATATCCCTCCTGCTAAGGGTTGCTTTTAAATGCATAAGGCATAAAATGACATTCTTGCGCGCGCACACACACACTTTCTTAGAACACACATCCTCACATGTACATAAACCCTTTCATGGAATTGAAAAATGGATAACTGAATCATGAAAATACAAAATTTTATATACCGTATTTTTCGACCCATAGGACACACTTTTTCCCCTCCAAAAATGAAGGGGAAATGTGTGTGCGTCCTATGGGGCGAATGCAGAGTTCGCTGAAGCCTGGAGAGCGAGAGGGTCGGTGCGCACAGACCCCTCTCGCTCTCCAGGCTTTGTGCAGATCTCTGCACGCCGTGGGAGCTCGCGCCGGGCTCCCACGGCTTGCGGAGAGTTGCCTGCATGCCGAAGGCTGGGCGCGCGGAGCTCCGCGCACCCCGGGGGGGCCCAGCTCACCACACGGCAAGGGAGCCCGGCACTGGGCTCCCATGGCTTGCGGAGAGTTGCCTGTTCTGGGGGCTGGGGGCGGGGGAAGCTTGGGGTGCCCCCGCCCGAGCCCCGCGCCAGGGAGGGGGAAATTTGCCTGCATGCGGAGAGTTGCCTGCATGCCGAAGGCTGGGCGCAGCTCTCCGCAAGGCACGGGAGCCCGGCACTGGGCTCCCACGGCTTGCGGAGAGTTGCCTGTTCTGGGGGCTGGGGTTGGGGGAAGCTTGGGCTTCCCCCGCCCCAGCCCCGCACCTGGGGGGGAAAAATAATTTCCCCCCCTTTATTTCCCCCCCCCCACAAAACGAGGTGCACCTTATGGGACGGTGCGTCCTATAGGGCGAAAAATAAGGTATTTAAGTCTAAAACTCTGGCCAGGTGTTACCTCAAGACTGGGGATTTTTGTGGTAAAAGAATGGAAGAAGTGTAAATGGAAGGGCTTTAAAAAAATCAGGATAGAAAACCACAGTAAACACAACAGGAAATGGAAGATATGGAACTGGGTGCACATTAATGAAATCATAACGAGAAAAGAACTATGAAATATTATTTTGATATATGGTCACAGATGAGAGACTTCGTGTGGACACAGACCAAATTTTTTTTCATTTTTTTTTTTATTAAATATTTTATTGGGTTACAAAAGTACATAAATCATCTCTGTTTTCAGTACATAACGTCCTTTTGCAGATCATTTATACTCAATGTTAATGTGGAGGAATTGTTGAAGTTATTTGAGACAAGTTTATATATTTGATTAGAGAAAAAACTGCTGAAATTTACTAATAATTCATTTCAGGGTTTTTTCTTCTCTTTGTGAAATCTTTCCATTAAAGCATCATAGATGTTTCCAGGAATTTGCTGGTGTCTTTGAATTAATGCCTGGAGTGCTGCCTTGCTCTGAAAATGAGGAAAAGAGGGAAAGTTATGCATCTCACTACTACAGCTCCATGGGCATGTAAATTAATCCACCTGAAAAATTATAGTGAAATGCATATGAAGTCTACAAAGCTATATACAAACAATGATTCCTCATTTGAACTACTTCAGCTCACGGGGATGACGACTAGGATCTGGCCTCACCCTAATTCAGGGGTAACCAATGCCCTCCAGAAGTTATTGGATTGCAACTCTCAGCACCAGCCAGTTTAGCCGGTGAGTAGAGATTATGGCAATTGTAGTCAAGTAACATGCCTAACTGATAACCTTATTACAGGCTATTAAACATGAACATCAATATTGTATCATATACTGTCCAGGGTCATAGGAACTGAGTAGAATAAGCCACATTGAACTAATGCTATTTAAAACAATAACACTATCTGTTTATTTATTTATTTAAAAAACACCATCTCAAGTTTCTCTAATCAATAAGTATTTGAAAGTTCAACACATTTTGATTTGCAAATAACGTATGCATACTCAGGAGCCAAAAAATGAGGGTCAACCTAATCTTTGTCAAGTCACCATACACACACACACACACACACACACACACAAACGGTTCATCAAGAACAAAATAAATGCCTTGCTTGATCAGACCAACTTTCCTTGCAAGAAAATCATAGCAACCAGCACTAGGTACTAGATGCCCAGGTGACAGATCATGGTCAGTTTCAATTTTCTACCCACTCCTGACATAAACCTTGTGACAGATTCTCTCTGTTCAAACAAATATAGATATTATTTTCAAACAAATAAAAGGCTGCAATAGTCATGTACAAATAAAACTAGAATTCTAGGACTTGAGCCTATGTTTAATAATGCTCTAACCTCCAAATGGCTTAGCAATATAGTTCTAAAGGTGACAATACTGCATTGCAGCCTACATGTTTTTAGAAAACGCTTTCTCTTTTCAAACTGTTTTAATAGAGGGCTTAGTAAATGTATTACCAGCTATTAAAGCTAACAACTCATTTCTCTTAAATAGGAATATTTTGAGTGCACATTTATAATGAAACAGTATTGCTGGTGTTTTATATTGGTTTAGCAGAAAACATACCTTTGTTGCTAACTCTGGAGCTGTTATATTTGGATCATATGGAATGGGTTTACCAATATATGTACGAAATTTGACTGGAAATCCACCATATGCAGGAAGAAAAGGCACCCGAAGAGATTCAAAACACCACTTAGTGAATCCTTTTTAAAATCCAGAGGGCAAAAAAGAAACAAGCAAGATATCAGCTTTCTTTCTGTTAAAAAAATGTGAGTGCCCTTTATGTTGGGGGGGGGGGAAGGAAAATCATTTTTTTAAATCTAAAAATTCTTCTCACTAGGCTCAGTCCATTGCTCCACTGCTGGGATACATATATTGATGTACTCTGATTACAAGGGTTTTGCTGTTTACTTCAATGAGCACACAAAAGCATCCTGTTGGAAGTTACTGAGGGAGTCCTTGTGGATTTGAATTCACTGCTGTGCCTGCACCCAGAAAGACTTCTAATTAAGGTTTACAGCTTCCATTGCAGATCAAGAAAGTAGCTCTTCAGAAGTTAAAACAACATCTGTTGGTAAATATGCAGCATTGTACATATGTGAAGGGTTCTGCATGCCTGAGACCATTTTCTGAATTCAATGTTTTTGGGATATCCATATGTACATACATTTTTAATCTGAATCTTATCAATACTATTCCAAAGGCACAGGTTTATACACATCTTTAATACTTTTGTACATTCAAATCATGTATGTTTAAGCTCAAAAAGCTATAAAGCATGGGTAGGCAAACTAAGGCCCAGGGGCTGGATCCGGCCCAATCACCTAAATCCAACCGGCAGACTGTCCGGGAATCAGTGTGTTTTTACATGAGTAGAATGTGTACTTTTATTTAAAATGCATCTCTGGGTTATTTGTAGGGCATAGGAATTCGTTCATTATTATTTTTCAAAATATAGTCCAGCCCCCCACAAGGTCAGAGGGACAGGGAAAAGGTTTTCTGACCCCTGCTATAAAGGTTTTAGCTAGAGCTTTAATTGATACTAAACTCTTCAAAGCTATATTCCGCTGAGATCAATAGCAGTACTACTATTTAGCTCTTGCCACATTCCAGTCCCATATCACATAAGGTAAAAGGGAATTTGCTTTTTCAGAAGGAGAGAGAATGAGCTATCTTTCTCCAAAGTGTTTGGGCTCTGCCTCTTTCAGGTAACGAGGTAAAGCAGGCAGAAGCCAACTTTGTTGCTTTTCATAGTTTTTAGTTTAAAAATAAAGGTGTAAAACAAGAGAGCCCCTCCCAACTTCTTAAGGGAATTACCCACTAATTTCCTCTGCTCTCTGTGCATCCATGGGCACTAGGTGCTATGAGATGAGGTTTTTGTGGCTGCTGAGGTAATGCAAAGATGGCCAACCAGCTGGCTCCCTTACTCAGCGGTTCATTCCCTGCTTAGGACAAAGGAGGGAAAGAGAACCTATTGGCCACTTTGTATTGAGGCTGGCTTGTTCCCTGCAAGTGTGGGCTGGCAGAAGGAGGCAGAAAGCCACTTGAGCACTTGGCTTGTGCCCCAAGAAAACACCTTTCTCAGCTGTGAGGAGAAAGTGGTTGAGCCATGCAGTATATTCTGCTTATTCTCTTTCCTGAGAAGAATGTTTCTGCATTGAACACCTTCGAATTAAAGGGAAGCGAAAAGAAAACACTGGCTGTTATCTTCTTCTGGTGAGCTCAACAGTGAGGTCCAGGGCTGGTTGGAAAAGCTTCCTAGCCCTGCCTGTGTTATCCTGACCAATTGACTCTGCCCATAGCCAAGATGTGATGACTCCCAGTACTTAAGGAGAAGGAATAGTTTTTAAAGATTTTAAGTTAAAACTAGAAGTCCACATTAGTACCAAAATTAAAACAAATGTCCAGACCCACCATGAAGCTCCTAGCATGCATGTGAGCTTGCTGCTCCAACAAACGCATTAGCAAAGCTTCCCACTCTGTTTAATGAACAGGATTTATTTTCATGTGTAAGGAAGTGCTATGCAAGTCTTTTGAAGCAGGCACTGAGCTGCAGGCTGGAGAACACAACATTTTAAAAGTACAAGCTAAATATCTGCATGCCTTACTTGTTCGTCCAAAGATCCTAAATCCTTCCCGAACATTTTGTGTATGCATTGGAATGATGGGCTAAGGGAGGAGAGAAAAGATGATAGTTTAAGTTAGCATATTTAAAGTTCAGTCTGTGAGGAAAACCTGAGCTTACAGGGTTAAACAGCTCAGAGTTTACGCTCTGCGTACTGTGGAAAGGAGGGGGGAAATGCTGCGTCATTTCCGAGAGGCTAAAGCCTTTGTTCTGTCTCTCTACTTTCGCTTTTGAGGAGAGAGGACGTGTTTTCGCGATGCTGTTCGCTGTGATAGATAATGGATAGCCTGCTGTAAATAAAACTGCTTTTAGCTGCTAAGATCCTGTGTGGACTTTATTTAAGCACACTGAAGAATGCACTGGAGTTGTTTTTTTTTGTTTCCTCTTACCGCTGTTGAAACTCTGCTATGCTCAGATGAGTCGGACTCTTGGAATGCAGAGGTCCGCGATGGCGGAAGCGTGCCGGACCAAGCTTATCTGAGCAATAAATCAAGATATCTCAGACAGTCTTTATATTGAGAATAAATATACACACAGGTAGCTGATGCTACCAGAAAGGAATTCTGTAAGTTCCCACCCAGCTGGCAAACCACTCTTACAGTCTACCTTGGCTCCAAAATATATTTGACCTGGCAATATATTGCGAATAATAATGTGTGTGTGTGTGCGTGCGCTATGCAAAAATCACAATGCGGGGGAAATCATGAAGCCTCTACATAGCTGCATCCTTATTTCATACATTGTGATAGATCAGTATATAACAAATGTTTAGCTGGTGAAATATCACAATATTGAAAACCAGATATTGCTCAGTCCAACTTGGTACCATACTAGTAGCCAGTGGCTTCCTCAACACAACTGTTAGATGCCAGCAACCAGGCTCTAGAAATCTGCACTTGCTGCAATTTCTGAACCAACCTCAAGGGTAGTCCTACAAATAGTGCATTACAATATTATATAGTCAAAATTGCCAATGTTTCAAAATTGTAGTCAGGCTATCCCAATTCAGGAACGGTCACAGACAACAGACCAACAGAAGTGGATAAAAATCACTCCTACCCTAGCTGGATCTTGAAGTACCCCCCAGAATATGTAGCAGAACTGCAACCCTATCCAAAACACAACCAGTCTCCCAAACACAGGAATGGCTCACCCATAGTGCTTCTGTCTTGTCAGGATTTAAGCTCAACTTATTGACCCTTTTCGAGTCTTGTTTTACTCTCCTCACCAAAAGTTCTACTTTCCCTTCTCTTTTTTATTCTTCTTCCCCTTCTAAAGCTTCTATAAACTGCTCATTGAGGCTCAAAGACATGATATGGCATGTTGCAAGTTCCCTCGTTCTGCAAAGGTTGGCCAAGAGGTTGCAAAACTTGCTAATGTGATGACATCACATGAAACTTGCTTTGCTAGACTAGATAAAGGAGCAGGAATAATCTCCCGCCCTCTTCATGTGGGTGGGGAGCCTTGGCTCTTTTGGTCAGGTAATGTGTGTTCCTAAGGTAGACATTTTATGTAACCATTTGTCATATGAAGACCATGCCGTAGATATGTGACAATCTGACTGCTGTTTTTGAAGTACCAACATCCTTCAACAAATTCCCTGCAAAACACTGCATATGTTGTGCTTTGCCTGACTTTACACTTACCTTGGAAGGCATGTTGCCTCAAGCTTGAGTGATTCTTTGTGATGTTATACTAGCCAAAAAATCCCTTACTTTGGGACATTTTCTTAACTCATATTAGTTGGTGTCACCATGTATATATTGTATGTTATCTGACTGTAAATTAAGATACAATTCAGTAGTGATATAAAAGTGTTGTAATTATATTATTAGCCTATTGTGTTGCTTTTGGATTGTCAGATTGTTCTGTTTGCAGCACAGGGGATCTTTGTTGTTTATAAATATGTGACAAATTGGCTTAGGGAAATGGTGAACATCTTGGGCCTTTTTTTACAGGTCATATATTATTTTCAGAAACAAATGCCTGCATCCTCCCAGGCTACTCTGGTAGTTGAGGCTATGGCAACAAGAAATCAGCTAAGATGGCAATGCGAGACTTTCGAGAGCTAAAAGATAGAGAAGGTAGCATGTACAGTGAATGCTGGATATCCTGAGACAGACTGTCATTTTTAATAGAACTGATGACACACAAACATTTCCCATGGCATATTAGCAAACACCTCTTTTGTAGTGTGGCTTCTCATGTTTTGAAGCAAGTTTTGCAAAACTGGTAAAACTTAACATCAGTGGCTGAAGTGTACATGATACCTTTATTTGTTATAACCTGTGCTCTCTTTAACGAAAAATCTTCTCTCCATTCTAACTTGATACTATTATTTATTATTATTATCTATGAAATTTCTATACTGTCCATCCAAAGATTACAGGGCAGTTTACAATACAGTGGACGCTCGGGTTGCGAACATGATCAGTGCAGGAGGCACCTTCGCAACCCACAGCGTTCACAACCTGCAGCGCCGCGTTTGCACTTGTGAGGGTCGCAATTCGCTGCTTCTGCGCGTGCGTGTGACGTCATTTTGAGCGTCTGCGCATGGGCGAGCGCCGAAACCCGGAAGTAACCCATTCCAGTACTTCTGGGTTCAGCGTGGTGCGCAACCCAAAAACACACAACCTGAAGCATCTGTAACCCAAGGTATGACTGTACAAATACTACTAGGCTTCATGTTGCAACATACTTTTTTTAAAAAAAACAAGAATCAATCTTTTAATTATGAAATGGAAATATCCTTTAAAAATATGATGATCTTTGTCTATCGGGTAGTTGTAATTTTCTAGATTCAGTCAATATTAGCACTTCCTGACTTTCAAGAGCAGAAGACTTCAATTAGCACTTTCAAGAGCAGAAGACAATAAAATGCAATTAAGACCCATTGTTTTCATTTAAAATGTTTTACCATTTTTTTCTCTCCCGCACTAGAATGGGATTCCAAAGGGCCGGACTTCTGCAGAATTATATCATACCTTTTTACAGTATTCCAAATGGGTATGTTTTAATCAGTTATTTCTCACCGCTCAAAGCACTTCTTGAAGCAGAAAGATACTTTTTTAAGATGCTTAATTTTCCACATGTCTGGATTTAATTTGAATTTCTAGTGTGCCACTATTTAACTCTGAAATGTACAGAACAGCTGTGTGTAGGACCAGGAAGATGTGGCCTTCCATATGTTGATGGTCCGCAACTCCCATCCACCCTGACCTCTGACCACGCAGGGTGGGGCTTGTAGAAGTTAGAATTCAACTAAACAACTGGAGGGCCATAGTTTCTCTGTACTGTACCGTATTAACTATAAAATGTACATAGGTTCAAATATTTTAAGTTGCCTTGCTAAAAAGCATATCACTTACTCAGAAGGTTTAATCAAGTCAATAAAGATATTCAGAGCTGAAGTTTGAAATTTAACTAGTGCCTTGTAGTCTTCCTTTTGTTCTGAAGAAAACAGAGGTCACAATAGTAGTGCTTGCATGCAGCAATCATTAATTTATGTGATATTTACATGGGAAAACTCCTCAAAAGATTCTTTTAGAGACTGGAGATTTATCTTCACAAGGTGGATCTTACAGACCGAGAAATGAGAATTAATGCAAATGGAAGGACCAGCGCAAGTCCTGATCCCCTTAATAATCAAGTTACTTCAGAAGGACAGTGGCCTCGAGCCCTGAAATCAGTTACAGACCGATACTTGGGCATCTTGGATCTTCTCTGCAGATAACAGGCATAACCACAGGTAACAGTTTAAATATAATTGTTTGGTAGATCGCTATTACTTCATTTTACAGCATGGATCTTAGTTATATTAAGTGAATCCCATGCACATGAAAATTATAATTTTAGATTATTGATTAACAACATTTTTATGTTAAAAAACATAACATGTCTTCTAGCTGTTTAGCTTCTTATTTTGTTTGATAACATATATGCATTCAGAAGTGTCCAAATGTATAATCATATATGAATAGTACTTACCACTTTGGCATCTATAGCCACTTGAGCAAAACCTTTCCAATTTTTCCATATAAGTTTGTATGATTTATCACTAAATAGTGCTTCTCGAACTCCCCCTGGTGAAATTCCCAGCAGATGACCATTTTTTAGAACATTTACACACTCTTGCTGTGTACCAGGTAAAAGCCACATTACAGCACCTAAGTTTTTTAAACCTATAAAATATAAACAAGAAGACATAAACAAATAAACAGCCCCAAACCTGGCTCAGCTGAAGATATGCCAGCATAACTTGCTCATCCTGGCTGAACTGAGACTGACTGAACAAAGGCTTTTGAAAGTCACCCCAAAAAGGGTGTTCTGAGGATGTGGTGGGATGGGGAGCGGGAACTTAGACTGGCTCTTAAGCCCAGTCCACTCAGTCACATGACCTGGCGACCTGGCATAGAACCTTTCATTAAAGGCTTGTTTTCCATTGGCCAAGGACCCACCAATTTGCTCTCTGGCATAGAGCAATTTCCCTTGCTACACTAAGGGCCATTAACTCATCAAAAGCTTGCCCAGCTAGTTCAACAATGGAATCCTTCATTTTAACCCTTGCTGGATCTAGGACCCCGGGAACTCAGAAGGGACTCAGGCATCAAGCAGGCTAAACCCCCATACTCACAACACTGAATCTTGTTCTTCAGATATTTAATGCTAGGCATTAAAACTGCCTAATCTAATGAAGGACTTATCTAGCCAGTGTAAACAGTATTACCCTTGATGCTAAGCAGAGAGAAATTTATAGATTTTGCCATTTTGATAATAGATAAAATCTTGCCAGTTTCTGGAAATCACAAGTGGGGAGAGTGATCCTGCACAAGCTTGGATCTTCTCTTAGGCACCTGACTGGCCACTGTGGAGAACAGGATGCTGGAGTAGATGGGCCATTGGCCTCATCCAGCAGATTCTAACTCCCTCTGTTCGTTTCTTTAATTTAATGATATAAGATGCTTTTTCATGACCACTGAGGACTAGACAATGCTTCCTGAAACGAGCAGAGAAAACTTTTGATGGCTGGTAGTTAGTAACCTACTAACCTGTGTCTCCATTAACCGCTCCTCACTAGGAAACTGATGCTGCAAAAGGCTGAAGCTTCCTAACACCATTTGGGGAAAATGGGGTATATTTTAGTATTGCACACATTACCTGAAATCAGTTTTAAATTAACAAAGAACATCACCTGGAAGTTTGAAAACACAACGATCAGCTACTGTATAGCAACTTTGGCGCTTCAGAAGAAAAAGTTTGGATAAAAAGTAACCATAGTCTATAGGAATTGCTCCATGGTAAAATATTATAAGGCCTGGTCCATCTGGTAGGTTTTCTATGCCATGTAGTTCGTAACCTGTTTGGAATACAAAGTGCAAAAGGGTTGTTATTTCAAATTAAGTAACTCTGAATGGGTAACTGAACTATAGTAGATTCCAGTGGTGTAGTGTGAGGTGCCAAGGGGGCCATTGCCCCGAGACCACAATTTGGGGGGTTGTGAACCCTCAAATGACACACTATCCACGCCCTGCCCCTGCCCATTGTGTGAGTGCCAACACAGCGGTGGCAAGGTCTGGGGAGCAGAGGGTGAAGGGCACTCTCTGTGCCCCTTTCCCACCCAGCACGCAACACCTGGCTGCAAGATAACGCGGACAATACTCTTGACCCTCCTTCACCTCACCCCTGCCCTGCACATGAGCGCTTGCCTGGTGGCAAGGGCTGAGCAGCGCTAAACGTTGATAACTAGTTTTGTTATGTTTGTAATTATGGTAAATATTCTCATGTTGTAAGTTGCCTTGAGCAAGGTTTTAATTAGGGAAAGGCAACATACAATTCAGAAGATGAAGATGAAACATGCTTACCATTCAAATATCTTCCAAGTCTTTCCCACATGAATGTTATAATTAGTCGTGCACCATCCCATGCTTTACTGGAATAAGTTTCTTTTAGTTTATGTGTCCTCTCATAGATGAAGAGGACCAAAGAAGAAAGGTAAAGAAGAAGCAGCACACATGCAGGAATTGTAAAAAATAACAGGATGTTGATAAACACCAGCACTACTGAACAGATGATCACATATGGGAGATATTCAAGAAAAATCCATTCTTCCATCAGATACGTAAGGCATGTAGAGTATGTCATAGTTGTATGTAGCATTTATTCACACTAATAATGTCCTGGGTTTTTTTAAAAGAAAAAGAATAAAACAATGTGAAACCCTTTCTACCACAAACTGTAGTCTCCTCAAAAAAAACTTGAAGCATCTCTTCATTCCAGAAAAACCAGTTGTGAGCTGCTAAATATTCCTCCTGTTCTAGAGATACTAGCAATACAATCAAATTATCTTGCCCAAGAACTACACCAGCCAATCTACATCACATGTCTCGCCTGAGGCTGTGAACACTAGTTCTCTGCACCATAGATGGTAGAACAATATGTAGAGTCCAGCTGATTAAGGAGGGGACGTGCAGCAGGCACACAATACTGTGAGCAAATGTGCCAGGATGTTGTAACTATCACCATGGAGCAGGTACTGAATGGTAACCCAGTAAATTTCTTCTGCCTAGAAGCATAGCTTGGACCTCATATCCAAAATCATTTTAATCCTATACATATTCACAGTGCGGCCTTCTGCATATTTACTCAAGAGCAAGTGCTACTGTGCAAAAGGAAGCTTACTCCCAGGTAAACGCTCCTCTGGCACACGTGCCTGCCTTCCCCCAGCATGTGGCACCCCCTGGGTGCAGGTGCCCACTGTGTCTTAAGTTCAGGGCTGGAGACTTAACAGTGTAGTTCCTCTTTGCAATGGGCGAGATAGGATAGAAAAGTCCCCCCCCCCCGCCGCCAACTTGTCCTCCTAGCTTCAGAGTGAAGCCAGCAGCACCCAAGTAGCACAGAGTTCCATTTTCTGTCCTCAGAACATGTGGGTGGGCCAGGTGCCTCTGGTGGGCTCTTCAGCACCACCCAGCAGAAGTCCCCCAATGGGGCATTCTGGGGGAGCCCTGAAGTGGATCTCCCCTTCACAATAGGAAAAAGCGCTACATGGGAGAATAAGGAAGAGCGAAGGCGGTGCTAGAAGGCTGAGTGCTCCTGAGGGCTTGGCAAAAGGAATGAGGGTTGGGTAGAAGTTGACAGACGCCAGGGTCCCAAACACCTGGAGGTCCCCTAGTTGTGTGTGTTGGAGGAGGGCGACTGAGTGACGCAGCAGCTCTCTCAGAGTTGCTCAGCTCCACAGCCACAGCAGCTCCACCATTCCCTCGCCCCCCCCCCCATCAACCGCTCTTCCGCTCGCGCGCTTTCCCCTCTCCTCGCCTCCTCTCAGGCTCTTCGGCGCGCCGAGCTTCCTTCAGGCGGGACGTCCTCAGCTCCTCACGTGGGCGCTTCGCAGGGGGACCGGGGAGCTCCCTGCGCCCTTCTGCCTCACCTCTGCGGTTACCTCGTCCGTCGCTAGCGGAGGGCGGAAGGGGAGAAGAAGAAGAAGAAGAAGGAGGAGGAGGAGGAGGAGGAGGAGGAGGAGGACACGAGGAAATGGGTATCGGCCGCCAGAGATCCTCACCGGCGCTTCCTTCCGAGGGGCTCGGCTGCTGCTATTCGCAGCAGGTTGTCGGTGAAGGTAGCCTCAAGCTCGAAGCGTCTGCTAGGGAGGAGTCGCGCTGGTGTTAAAAGGAGCGTCGCAGTCTTGCGGATGAGTCTGCGGTCGCAGGTGAGGTTGCCTCGAGCTGTTTGCGCCTTCGTACTTAAGAAGGAGACGGCCGGTTTCTGTAAAAAAGAAGTATATCGGGTACTTTCTACCATGAGGTGGGGACAGAACCTCAGTTTGCTATGTATTTTTTATTTAGGTTCTAGCACATTTGCAAACGAAGCAGGGTCCAGTATGGTTTCAAATTGGCTGAGAGACTTTGTTGGGATAACTAGATGACCCTTGGAGCTCCTTCCAACTCTACATTTTATGATTCTATGAACAAAAACGTTAGCCTGGTAAGCCTAAATTGCCTTTACTTCAGTCACCTCTCTGGGAGCGGCAGAAGACTTGTGTGGTGCACTTTTTTGTTGGCTAATTTTCACCCCTATGGAGACTTGACCCTTTATGTGGTGGTTTAAAGAGACTCTGGTGGGTGTGCCATCTGTATGAGGAAACAAAGCATTGTGAAAAAGAGGGAGGGCTTGTGGAGGCTGCTTCTGGGAAGTCGTGGCCCTTTTTAATTAAATGTAAGCTATGGGGTCAAGATGTGCTTGCAAGGTATCCTGCAATACGTAAACCTTGATAACATGTTCTGTTTACAATATTAAATCCTAGGGCTGCATCAGGAAAAGCTTTTCCATTGGACCTCTCTCTTTAATTCTCTTTAATTCAGAGCAATAATCACATACACATATGGTGGTCTGTTTTACTCTATTTTTGAGGGGAGAGGTATTCGTTGTGACAGTCACATACACATATGGTGGTCTGTTTTACTCTATTTTTGAGGGGAGAGGTATTCGTTGTGACAAAGTAGTAGTACTTTCCTGCATTAAGGGGTTTGATCAACAGGGGAGAAATAATTTGATAGCCTTGCCTTGTTTAATTTGTTTGACATGGTTAGTTTGTTCTAATTTTCTTTTTTGGAGTCTTGTAAAGACCATTACTCTTCACTCTCCCCCCCCCCCCCACCACAATGCTTTATCACCAGGTTCTCAAGATTTATGAGGATTTATAAAGTAGCTGACCTTCCTTGTCCACAAAAATGCTGTGTCATGAAGTTCTCTGTCTGCAATTCAGTCATAGATGCAATAAAGACAAATATCCATGCCATATAAAAGGCAAATAAAGCCGAAAAACAAAAACAAACAGGTCTCCAATCTTCATTAGTCCCTTCATGAATCAATTGAAGAAGAGCTAAAACCTACCAAAATCCATTAAAACCACTTAGAACCTACTAAAAGGCAGATTAAAAACCACAAACTTCCAGAGAGGGATGTTATCTCCCAATCTGCTGAGTCCCTTCCAGACTTTTTCCTTTTACTTCAGGAAACAGTTAATTTAAGGTAAAGTTAACAGAAGTTAACGCGCAGGAAGGACCTCCATCAACAATATCCTTAGCTTGTGTCAGAGGAATGAAAAAATTATGTTATCAGCTGCATAATTCCCTGATGAAAAAATGCATGGCTATCAAGTACATTAGAAAATAATGGACAGAAGGATTTCAGAGCAGAATCAGCATGTTGATTTCGTTCTGAAATTATATCTTTGAATCCTGTATGGGAACAACCATGAGAGTAAACATGAGCAGCATAGAAAGGCGCAATTCTATTTGTCAAGAGATTTTTCAGTGTCAAAAACAAAGAGTAGATTGAAATCTAGCATAGGAGAAAGATAGGAATTAGCCAAATGTGCTAAAAAGATATCCCACTTCACACAAAAATCACAAAATGCAGTGAAAGTGTAGGCTGTTCTCTGTCAGTTTCCTGATTAGCTGCAAAAAATATGCCAGTTATTTTCAGAATCCTTATGTTAAAACACTCTAGAGGTGTTGAATAGGAACCTGCTTTTGGACAGAAACCAATTTCCAGGGTACCTGTTGAATTAAAACTAGGCGTGAATCTTTAGGAGGGTTAAAATAAACTATCCCAAGTTAATCAGTAAATGCAAACTGATAGGAAAGAGAATAACTCATTAGGGACTCGTGTTCCTCTTTAGAAAAAAAGCAAATAACAAACAGCAATATCAAATCCAGTGTTAGGCAAATGTAGCCACTTTAAAATCACTATTCTGTCAGCAGCGTCTGGGGAAAAAAGTAGTCCTGTAGGTGAAAACATTGTATCAAGGAAAATCACTCGTATGAATTGACCCCAAAACTCTGCAACTGCTGTAAAGTAAATTCATTAGGAATTTTAAGTTGAGGGAGGAAAGGAGAAAAAACAGTCTGCAACAGGTGATGAAGAATAAGTCTCACTGTCTGAGGTGGAATCAGACCTGTATGCTATGTCTTAATTTTATAAACCACCATAGGGCACTGGAACTGAAATTAGCAAGTTCTGCTGTCATTAGATTCAAACCAGCACTGCCCTTAGCGGCATGGCGCAGATCTGTCACAGGAGACTGTGTGTTAAAAGCAACTGTGTTAGAAGCAATAGGTGGCTCTGCTAATTTAGCTTCAGTAAAATCCTGACAATCAGCTGGCACAACAGTCTTTGTTCTCCCATTTAAACTCAGGCTGGAAGGCCATCTGTTGTGGCATTGCCTGTCTTTAGCAGGATAAACTGAAGGAGACAAAGCTGCTGCTTGTTGATGTTGTTTAGTTGTTTAGTCGTGTCCGACTCTTCGTGACCCCATGGACCAGAGCACGCCAGGCACTCCTGTCTTCCACTGCCTCCCGCAGTTTGGTCAGACTCATGTTTGTAGTTTCTAGCTGCTGCTAGGAGGGCAGATTTGTGAGTCTCAGTGTCAATATTCTGGCAGGGCTTACTCATTTGAGCAATATCTGTTTCTGGCTTCTGATAACTTGCTTTAAGAGCAGTCTTGCAATCAGCATTTTCATTTTCATAAGCCAATTGTTTCATTTAAACTTCAGAGGCTTCAAGGTTTGGAATTTAAGTACTGGCTCCTCTTAGCCCATCAAGAATGCCATGCAAGCCATTTTCTGTCACACTTCGCTTCAATTGTTTAAAAACTGCGAAGGGCAATGATTCACGGGCTCTCTGTTCCTGTGCATTCTGAACAACAGGACAGACTGATAATAATGGCAAGGTGTCAGCTATTTTTCCTTCACTGCTTCCTTCTGCCATATTTGGAATAACCAATTTTTGCACTGCGGTCTGAGCCCCTTGCGGGCATTGGTCCAACAAAGAAGGTGGCATGGAATTTACATTCGACCCAGGCAAATCTTTGGCAAAGGAAGGTGCCTCTGGGAATGGAAGTACCTTTGGCATGACCTCAGAGAGAGGCTTGAAATCTAGAGGCAGAGATGGGGGAAACAATATTATGGTATTTTTAAAAGCAGCTAGGGGTTGCAACAATGTGGGAGCATTCACAGAGACAACGGGTGGTTGGAGTAAAGCGTTAGAGAGCTTTCCAACTGCGTCTCTACACAAATGCCAGGTGTGCAAAACTTGTACAGATGCCTCAGGATGTCTATGGAGTGCATCTCCCAGCTCATTCCATTTCTTAATGTCATAAGTACCCCCCTCTGGAAATCAGGGGCACAGTCTAGCAATCCCTAACAACATTTTTTCTACTAAGGGTGCTAGATGCTTATCATGCCCTGCCTGAGCTAGCAAAAATAACAAATCATTCCTATGCTTTTCCTGCTCATGTGAAAGCTTGCTTCCCATGATCTCACCTGAAGGGGTATAGACGCACGTCTTTGGGGCTCGTTCCGAGCGAATGAGATCCTAAGTCTGGGAATCGTTTTGCAGGAGATGATCCACCGCGACCAAGGGATAGCAGCAGCCAAGCATACTAGGACTCAATTTCTTGATTTTAAGAAAGCCGACTTCATAAAACTTAGGGAAGTGCTGGGTGAGATCCCATGGACAGTAATACTAAAAGGAAAGGGAGTTCATGATGGCTGGGAGTTTGTTAAGAGGGAGATAATAAAAGCACAACTTCAGGCAATACCAATGAGACGGAAACATGGAAGGTGCCTAAAGAAGCCAGGGTGGCTATCTAAAGAACTTTTAACTGAGTTAAGATTAAAAAGGATGTGTACAAAAATGGAAAAGGGGAAACCACCAAAGAGGAATTCAAACAAATAGCCAGCACGTGTAGACACAAAGTCAGAAAAGCTAAAGCACAGAATGAACTCAGGCTTGCTAGAGAGTTAAAAGCAACAAAAAAGGCTTTTATGGGTATGTTCGTAGCAAAAGGAAGAACAAAGAAACAGTGGGGTCACTCAGAGGAGAAGATGGTGAAATAGGGGACACAGAAACAGGGGACACAGAAAGGGCTGAACTCCTCAATGCCTTCTTTGCCTCAGTCTTCTCCGATAAAGAAAACAATGCCCGACCTGAAGAATTTGGAGCAAATGATTCAGCAGAGGAAACACAGCCCAGAATAACTAAGGAGATAGTACAAGAATACTTGGCTAGTCTAGATGTATTCAAGTCTCCAGGGCCAGATGAACTGCATCCAAGAGTATTAAATGAACTGGCAGATGTGATCTCAGAACCACTGGCAGGCATCTTTGAGAATTCCTGGAGAACAGGCGAAGTCCTGGCAGACTGGAGGAGGGCAAATGTTGTCCCTATTTTCAAAAAGGGGAAAAGAAAGGACCCAAATAATTACCGCCCAGTTAGTCTGACTTCAATGCCAGGAAGATTCTGGAGCAGATCATTAAGCAAACAGTCTGTGAGCACCTAGAAAGGAATGCTGTGATCACCAATAGTCAGCATGGATTTCTGAAAAATAAGTCATGTCAGACTAACCTGATCTCGTTTTTTGACAGAATTACAAGCCTGGTAGATGAAGGGAACGCAGTGGATGTACCCTACCTTGATTTCAGCAAGGTATTTGACAAGGTGCCCCATGATATTCTTGTAGAGAAGCTGGTAAAATGCGGTCTTGACTATGCTACCACTCAGTGGATTTGTAACTGGCTGACTGACCGAACCCAAAGGGTGCTCATCAATGGTTCCTCTTCATCCTGAAGAAGAGTGACTGGTGGGGTGCCACAGGGTTCTGTCTTGGGCCCGGTCTTATTCAACATCTTTATCAACGACTTGGATGATGGACTCAAGGGCATCCTGATCAAATTTGCAGATGACACCAAACTGGGAGGGGTGGCTAACACCCCAGAGGACAGGATCACACTTCAAAATGACCTTGACAGATTAGAGAACTGGGCAGAAACAAACAAGATGAATTTTAACAGGGAGAAATGTAAAGTATTGCACTTGGGCAAAAAGAATGAGAGGCACAAATACAAGATGGGTGACACCTGGCTTGAGAGCAGTACATGTGAAAAGGATCTAGGAGTCTTGGTTGACCACAAACTTGACATGAGCCAACAGTGTGACGCGGCAGCTAAAAAGCCAATGCAATTCTGGGCTGCATCAATAGGAGTATAGCATCTAGATCAAGGGAAGTAATAGTGCCACTGTATTCTGCTCTGGTCAGACCTCACCTGGAGTACTGTGTCCAGTTCTGGGCACCACAGTTCAAGAAGGACACTGACAAACTGGAACGTGTCCAGAGGAGGGCAACCAAAATGGTCAAAGGCCTGGAAACGATGCCTTATGAGGAACGGCTAAGGGAGCTGGGCATGTTTAGCCTGGAGAAGAGGAGGTTAAGGGGTGATATGATAGCCATGTTCAAATATATAAAAGGATGTCACATAGAGGAGGGAGAAAGGTTGTTTTCTGCTGCTCCAGAGAAGCGGACACGGAGAAATGGATCCAAACTACAAGAAAGAAGATTCCACCTAAACATTAAGAAGAACTTCCTGACAGTAAGAGCTGTTCGACAGTGGAATTTGCTGCCAAGGAGTGTGGTGGAGTCTCCTTCTTTGGAGGTCTTTAAGCAGAGGCTTGACAACCATATATCAGGAGTGCTATGATGGTGTTTCCTGCTTGGCAGGGGGTTGGACTCGATGGCCCTTGTGGTCTCTTCCAACTCTATGATTCTATGATTCTACATGTGGCACCCTTGCTGTAGTGTTCATGGCCCTCCACTGCCTCTCCCCCTACATCATCTTCCTCTGCACGCACACAGCAGCCACACCAGGAAACTATGACATCACAGAAAGGTCATTTGAAGGAAGGAAGGAAGGAAGGAAGGAGGCCAAAGAGGCCCAGTAGCACAGAGTGCTGTTTGGAGTTTTTCCACTAGGTTAATTAATGCAGCATATAACCTCCACCCATATATCTGTGTACCAATCTCTGCTGGAGGTGGCAGTTTTCCATCAGCATAGTCTCCTCAGTTCCATGTGTGTATCTCCTCCCCCCCCTCCTTTGTGTGTGTCTACTGTATTCAAAAGCTCTGCACCCTAAAGGGATTGAAATTCCCCATCCATGAAATCATAGTTGAAATGGATGGCAGAGAGCTATGCTTGTGATCCATAATAGTGCAATATCTTTGCAATAATGGCACTTGTATTGTATCCACAGTATTTCCTAAATAAGTTTCAAATAAAATGCATTCTTCTATTTGGAGCTTATTCTTTTCAGGGCTGCAGATGTTTTATTATGTGATCAGGTTGAAATCTTACAAGAAAGCTGAAATTGTGGAAATGATGAAGAAAGGCCATTTACTGGGCATTGCACCTGGTGGAGGTAGAGAAGCACTGTATAGTCACGATTACTGCATAACGTGGGGTAAACACACAGGTTTTGCTCAGGCAGCTTTGGAGGCGAAAGTGGTGAGTGATCTTTGTGCAATCTGCATTGCCTTCACGATTATCCTAGATAAGACGTAATGTGTTGACATCCTTGATCCAGCATCCAAAAAGCTGAGGATGGCAAATATCCTGTTTGGGGGTCAAATGACATCTGGAGTGCCACAGGTCTCCCCACCCCTGCTTTAAAACAAACCTACTGAAATTGGTGATGTTTAAAAAGAAAACCTGCGTTTTCCTTTTATCTTTCTTTTTATATATAATTTTATTTTAAAAAATTGTTTTACTGTTTAAAATATTCATTTTACATCCTTAAGATATCAACGACTTCGTTTCTTCTCCTTTGATAGTTCATTTTACATATCATAAATCACCGTTTAACAAAGCTGTATCTCTTAAACACACATCAGTGTGTACATGCAACACATATCAACGTGTGCAATAAATTGTCTTCCTCTTCAACCCTCTCCATATCCTCAAAAATTAGCACTGGAGGTACCTTGTCAGGCAGATTCTGGGGCACATAGTGTAGGGTTTCCATATGTTTGGGAAATCCCAGACATGTCCTTCTGGGGCCATCTGGGAGGTTTCTTTTTTCCATTTTAAGGAAATATCCGAGTTGGGGGGGTAAATTTGTGCGTGCGCTGTTTCAGGCTCCTACGTGAGAGTGGCTCTGGTTCTGTTTTGCGCCTGTGGGCAGTTGGGGTGGGGAGAGGGCAACCTCCCCCCCAAAAAATCACAACTTTCTGACCAATGGCCCCAAAGAACAGCTTTTTATGCAATTGACCAAAATTTTCATGAGGAGCAATTAGAATAAGATCTATTATTTGATTATTTTGTATAGTCCACCCTAGTATAATGGGAAAAAGAAATCCCATTGCATGAGCAGATCTATCTTTGTACCACATAGTTTTTCCCCCCATTTAAATAGTCTCAACAAGTTAAGGAGAGGGGAAATTGAGTGATGGGCATGATGCACAAAAGTATATATAATGAACCCTATATCAGGTCATATAGAATGAGGAAATCAATATGTACAATAAGATTTAGAGCTGAAAGAGAGAGAAACCAAGAGGAAAAGAAATATTCTGCTTTAAACTTCCAAGTTTAGAATTAACTTACTCTTTCAGCCAGCTCTACAGATGTTATATTTGGATCATATGGGATGGGTTCTCCAATAAATGTCCTCAATTTCACTGGAAACCCTCCGTAAAAGGGAAGGACCATACATCGAGTTTTCTCATACAGCCATTTTGTCAGCCCTGTGTATGAAATGGAAGAAGATTCTGAAGGAAAGCGACACCATATCAAATCTGAAATTAGTTGACATTCTCAGTGTTTAGCAATTGCAATAAATAGTAAGAAAGGAAGAGTTAAATAATATGAGTGCTTGGGAAAAGAGATACAGTGGTACCTCGGGTTACGAGCGCTTCAACTTACGTTTTTTCGGGTTATGAAGGATTGTAACCCGGAAGTAAGTTTTCCAAGCTCTCTGAGGACATTGCCTGGAGTCAGACCCAGACATCGGCAGAGCCTACGGAGCTGTCAGAGGCCTCCGCGAATACAGGGAACCAACCCCCGACATCTGCGATGCCTAGAGCGGCTCCACGAATGGGGGTAACCAAGCCCCGACATCCGCGGTGCCTAGAGCGGCTCCTCGAATGCCAGGAGCCAAGCCCTGACATCCATGGTGGCTGCAGAGGCTCTGCGACTGGGCTCCAGGAGCTCTCTGAGGCCTCCATGAATGCCGGAAGCCAAGCCGATTGTGATTGTGGAAGAGGACCCTGAGCCCCTCCAAACAGTAAGTTTGGAAATAAATTTTAATTCTTTTCATCTAAAATACTGTCTTATTTATTTTATAGTACAGTACATTGATTATTGCCTTCATTTTATGGAACAATGGTCTCGTGAAACAGTAAAATTTGTGTTAAATTGCTATTTTAGGGGGTATTTTTTCATCATCTGGAACGGATCAATCCACTTTCCATTACTTTCAATGGGAAAGTCCGCTTCAGATTAAGAACGCTTCAGGTTAAGTACAGACTTCTGGAACCAATTAAGTACTTAACCTGAGGTACCACTGTACAAGATATTCAGTCAGCTCTTCTCAGCTCTTTGCAATCAGTCATAAGTTGTGTACAATAGACTGCAGAATATGGTATGTTTCCTGTTCAGTTCCCCTCCATGTTAGGGTTGCTCCACATTTATCGATTATAGCTTTCTGTCAAATCTACTAGAAAACTAAGCAAGGGCATGTTCACTCAGTACTGAGGCAGGCAGCACAGCTTTTGCAGATAAGTGGACATGGAATAAAATCTATTAAGTAAAGGTAAAGGGACCCCTGACCATTAGGTCCAGTCGTGACCGACTCTGGGATTGCGGCTCTCATCTCGCTTTATTGGCCGAGGGAGCCGGCGTTTGTCCGCAGACAGCTTCCAGGACATGTGGCCAGCATGACTAAGCCACTTCTGGCGAACCAGAGCACTGCATGGAAACGCAGTTTACCTTCCCGCTGGAGCGGTACCTATTTATCTACTTGTACTTTGACGTGCTTTCGAATTGCTAGGTTGGCAGGAGCAGGGACCAAGCAATGGGAGCTCACCCTGTCACGGGGAATCGAACTGCCGACCTTCTGATCGGCAAGTCCTAGGCTCTGTGGTTTAACCCACAGCGCCACCCATGTCCCTATAAAATCTATTCATGAGTAGTAAATATTCTTTTTAAAAGATCATTCTATTGTATTAAAATGTATATTGCCTGAGATCTCTTGATTAACCAAGGTATTTAACTTACTTGTCTTTCCAATGGTCCTGTATGCTTCACAACTGTTTTGTGTAAAAATAGGGATGATGGTCTAAAATATAAATGTTGAAACGAACATGAAAAGAAAGGTGAGGATTGGATAATTATTTTGCCCCAACCATCCTGCCTTTATTTTTGTTATGGACTATGAAGAATGCTTCACATCTGAGATTATAATGAGAAGCAACTCATAAATGATAATGTAATTGGCTTTAAAATTCCTGACACATTTATTCAAATATCTCAGATGAAGAAATTCAGAAGCTGTCCTCCAGATTTTCAGGAATTGAAGGGGAAAAAAGAATTTCCTGGTTTGCCCTGAGGGGGAAAGGAATCCAGGTTCAGCCAACTGGCCGCTGCATTTTGGAGTTTGGCGGCAGCCCATAGGCAATGAGCACCCCAAAAAGGTCTTGGGGATGACCAGGACTCTGAGGGCTCCTGTGTAGGTCAAAAGCGAGTTCCCAATGGGTCTGAGGTTCCATTTGGTCCTGGCCTAACCCAGCTGTCAAGCTGTAATCTCTGGGCTCCAGATAATAAAACCAAGGAAAAAGGGATTTATTACACTGGTCAACAACAAATTTGTTGTCTGCGTTTTTTCAGTTGATTTAGGACGAATCTGATGCACTGAATCCAAAAATCACATTGGTTTTGCTCAATCAGGTCAAGTTTTTGATTAGCAGATTTCCCAGAAAATAAAACCAAAGAAAGAGAGATTTATTACTCAAGTGTCTTTAGCATTTGGATTAATTTGGTGAACTTCCAGGAGAACAAAAGGGGAGTCTTCTCTAGAATTGGTGACTATCCTGCATGGGAACCAGATGGCTGAAGCATTGAAGGAAACAAAGAAAGTCTGCCATTGGAAATAAAAGGAAGGGGACAGGGGGATAAGAACTTTGAAAACTTTCTTTTCAAGAAAAAGCATTCAAACTTTTATACTCCTCCCCCCTGGATTCAACTGGCGGGAGCTATAGCATCTCAGGAACTATTGGCAGACAATTTGGCTTTAATTGAATTGAGGCAAAAAGAGATACTTTTATGATTTAGATCTATTGCTCAGCAATCTGGTGAAGCAATAAGGGATAAAATAATTGAGGCACTTGCAAATCTTCTTGAGACTCAAAAGTAGGAGGTACATCAAGCTCTTGATCATGCTTTCAGGGTTAAATCCCCGTATGCTAAGAAGAAAACATTTCCAGGAGATTGTATGGTTCTTTTTTTATTCTAGAAATATCAAAGACTGAGTGCTCCAGACATACAGTGGTGCCTCGCAAGACGAAATTAATCCGTTCCGCAAGAGTCTTCGTCTAGCGGTTTTTTCGTCTTGCGAAGCAAGCCCATTGACGGATTAGCGCTATTAGCGCTATCAGCTGTTTAGCGGCTATTAAAGGCTTAAAGGCTTAGGGGATTAGCTGCTAAAAGGCTATTAAAGGCTATTAAAGGCTTAGCAGATTAGATAAAGGGGGGGGAAAAGCGAAAAAAAATCTCAAGACTCGTAAGGTATTTTCGTCTTGCGAAGCAAGCCCATAGGGGAATTCGTCCTGCGAAGCAACTTCAAAACGGAAAACCCTTTCGTCTAGCGGTTTTTCCGTCTTGCGAGGCATTCGTCTTGCGGGGCACCACTGTATTATGAGAAGGATCTTGAAATAGATGATGACTGGCAGCATTAAGATAAATTCTTCAGTGTAATATGTTTTGATGGATTCAATAATGGAATACTATACATAGTATAGTTTTTGTAAAATATGCAGGGATTTATGATATGTAAAATGAACTATCAAAGGAGAAGAAACGAAGTCGTTGATATCTTAAGGATGTAAAATGAATATTTTAAACAGTAAAACAATTTTTTAAAATAAAATTATATATAAAAAAGAAAGATAAAAGGAAAACGCAGGTTTTCTTTTTAAACATCACCAATTTCAGTAGGTTTGTTTTAAAGCAGGGGTGGGGAGACCTGTGGCACTCCAGATGTCATTTGACCCCCAAACAGGATATTTGCCATCCTCAGCTTTTTTGGATGCTGGATCAAGGATGTCAACACATTACGTCTTATCTAGGATAATCGTGAAGGCAATGCAGATTGCACAAAGATCACTCACCACTTTCGCCTCCAAAGCTGCCTGAGCAAAACCTGTGCGTTTACCCCACGTTATGCAGTAATCGTGACTATACAGTGCTTCTCTACCTCCACCAGGTGCAATGCCCAGTAAATGGCCTTTCTTCATCATTTCCACAATTTCAGCTTTCTTGTAAGATTTCAACCTGATCACATAATAAAACATCTGCAGCCCTGAAAAGAATAAGCTCCAAATAGAAGAATGCATTTTATTTGAAACTTATTTAGGAAATACTGTGGATACAATACAAGTGCCATTATTGCAAAGATATTGCACTATTATGGATCACAAGCATAGCTCTCTGCCATCCATTTCAACTATGATTTCATGGATGGGGAATTTCAATCCCTTTAGGGTGCAGAGCTTTTGAATACAGTAGACACACACAAAGGAGGGGGAGGAGATACACGCATGGCACAGAGGAGACAATGCTGATGGAAAACTGCCACCTCCAGCAGAGATTGGTACACAGATATATGGGTGGAGGTTATATGCTGCATTAATTAACCTAGTGGAAAAACTCCAAACAGCACTCTGTGCTACTGGGCCTCTTTGGCCTCCTTCCTTCCTTCCTTCCTTCCTTCAAATGACCTTTCTGTGATGTCATAGTTTCCTGGTGTGGCTGCTGTGTGCGTGCAGAGGAAGATGATGTAGGGGGAGAGGCAGTGGAGGGCCATGAACACTACAGCAAGGGTGCCACATGTAGAATCATAGAATCATAGAGTTGGAAGAGACCACAAGGGCCATCGAGTCCAACCCCCTGCCAAGCAGGAAACACCATCATAGCACTCCTGATATATGGTTGTCAAGCCTCTGCTTAAAGACCTCCAAAGAAGGAGACTCCACCACACTCCTTGGCAGCAAATTCCACTGTCGAACAGCTCTTACTGTCAGGAAGTTCTTCTTAATGTTTAGGTGGAATCTTCTTTCTTGTAGTTTGGATCCATTTCTCCGTGTCCGCTTCTCTGGAGCAGCAGAAAACAACCTTTCTCCCTCCTCTATGTGACATCCTTTTATATATTTGAACATGGCTATCATATCACCCCTTAACCTCCTCTTCTCCAGGCTAAACATGCCCAGCTCCCTTAGCCGTTCCTCATAAGGCATCGTTTCCAGGCCTTTGACCATTTTGGTTGCCCTCCTCTGGACACGTTCCAGTTTGTCAGTGTCCTTCTTGAACTGTGGTGCCCAGAACTGGACACAGTACTCCAGGTGAGGTCTGACCAGAGCAGAATACAGTGGCACTATTACTTCCCTTGATCTAGATGCTATACTCCTATTGATGCAGCCCAGAATTGCATTGGCTTTTTAGCTGCCGCGTCACACTGTTGGCTCATGTCAAGTTTGTGGTCAACCAAGACTCCTAGATCCTTTTCACATGTACTGCTCTCAAGCCAGGTGTCACCCATCTTGTATTTGTGCCTCTCATTCTTTTTGCCCAAGTGCAATACTTTACATTTCTCCTGTTAAAATTCATCTTGTTTGTTTCTGCCCAGTTCTCTAATCTGTCAAGGTCATTTTGAAGTGTGATCCTGTCCTCTGGGGTGTTAGCCACCCTCCCAGTTTGGTGTCATCTGCAAATTTGATCAGGATGCCCTTGAGTCCATCATCCAAGTCGTTGATAAAGATGTTGAATAAGACCGGGCCCAAGACAGAACCCTGTGGCACCCCACCAGTCACTCTTCTTCAGGATGAAGAGGAACCATTGATGAGCACCCTTTGGGTTCGGTCAGTCAGCCAGTTACAAATCCACTGAGTGGTAGCATAGTCAAGACCGCATTTTACCAGCTTCTCTACAAGAATATCATGGGGCACCTTGTCAAATACCTTGCTGAAATCAAGGTAGGGTACATCCACTGCGTTCCCTTCATCTACCAGGCTTGTAATTCTGTCAAAAAACGAGATCAGGTTAGTCTGACATGACTTATTTTTCAGAAATCCATGCTGACTATTGGTGATCACAGCATTCCTTTCTAGGTGCTCACAGACTGTTTGCTTAATGATCTGCTCCAGAATCTTCCTGGTATTGAAGTCAGACTAACTGGGCGGTAATTATTTGGGTCCTTTCTTTTCCCCTTTTTGAAAATAGGGACAACATTTGCCCTCCTCCAGTCTGCCAGGACTTCGCCTGTTCTCCAGGAATTCTCAAAGATGCCTGCCAGTGGTTCTGAGATCACATCTGCCAGTTCATTTAATACTCTTGGATGCAGTTCATCTGGCCCTGGAGACTTGAATACATCTAGACTAGCCAAGTATTCTTGTACTATCTCCTTAGTTATTCTGGGCTGTGTTTCCTCTGCTGAATCATTTGCTCCAAATTCTTCAGGTCGGGCATTGTTTTCTTTATCGGAGAAGACTGAGGCAAAGAAGGCATTGAGGAGTTCAGCCCTTTCTGTGTCCCCTGTTTCTGTGTCCCCTATTTCACCATCTTCTCCTCTGAGTGACCCCACTGTTTCTTTGTTCTTCCTTTTGCTACGAACATACCCATAAAAGCCTTTTTGTTGCTATTTAACTCTGTAGCAAGCCTGAGTTCATTCTGTGCTTTAGAATGTCTGACGTTGTGTCTACACGTGCTGGCTAGTTGTTTGAATTCCTCTTTGGTGGTTTCCCCCTTTTCCATTTTTGTACACATCCTTTTTAATCTTAACTCAGTTAAAAGTTCTTTAGATAGCCACCCTGGCTTCTTTAGGCACCTTCCATGTTTCCGTCTCATTGGTATTGCCTGAAGTTGTGCTTTTATTATCTCCCTCTTAACAAACTCCCAGCCATCATGAACTCCCTTTCCTTTTAGTATTACTGTCCATGGGATCTCACCCAGCACTTCCTAAGTTTTATGAAGTCGGCTTTCTTAAAATCAAGAAATTGAGT